GCTTTCGAATAGTCACCCATGGCATAATACACTCCACCGATGCTGTTTTCTGAACCACCCAGATCAGGATGATTCGAAGGCAGAGCGTTTTCGAAGATTTGATGTGATTTTTCGTAAAATTCAAGTGCTTTCGAGTATTCACCCATGTTATTATACGCTTGACCGATGTTGTTGTACGAAGTAGCCAATGAGGGATGATTGGAAGGCAGAGCGTTTTCGAAGATTTGATGTGATTTTTCGTAAAATTCAAGTCCTTTCGAGTAGTCACCCATGTCGCTGTACACTCCACCGATGTTGCTGTATGAAGTAGCCAAATCAGGATGATTGGAAGGCAGAGCTTTTTCGACGATTTTATGTGATTTTTCGTAAAATTCCAGCGCTTTCGAGTAGTCACCCATGTTGTTATACAGTAGAGCAATGTTGTTGTAGTAATGAGATAATGAAGGGTGATCGTGTGGAAGAGTTTTACGCTCAATTTTAAGTGCGTTTTCGAGAAGTGAGGCTGCTTCTGTGTATTCTCCTCTATCGTTTTTCGCAGATGCAAGCTGGGAATATATATATGCTCTATCACTATCATTCGATGCCTGTTCCAGTAGTGCCATATATAGTTCTTCGGCCTTGTCGAATTGACCTATTTGTAGTAACAATTTACCCAGTGGAGACCATCCGGTACCGTCGACTTCTCCTCGAATATAGTGAGTTAATTCACGAAGTTGTGGATCATCATCTGACGTCAGTTTAAGATCGACTTTATAAAGTGCACGATTGTTGTCAATTTTTCGCACTTCACCAATGCGAAAGACGGTGTGCATGGTGAAGAGAATTTCTTCCTCATCCTTGAAGTAACTCTCCTCTCGAATGGAGGCGAATGGAGTTGATGAAACTTTAGGATCAATGGTTATTTGAAATAGAATTCCGACCATATCGGTCATTTTTAAAGCTCCCTTGGCGAAAACGAGGGAGACATCTGAATTTGTGCTGGTGGATAAAAAGTGGTTAAAAGAAATAAGCCCACCTTTGTTTTCTGTGAGCTTTTCAAAATCTACTTTCGATAGGCCTTGCCCTCGAAAGATTGTAAAAATCTTGTTATGGTATTGACTGACCTGATTTTTGTATAAGGTTTCGATTTGTCGATGTACATCACACAGGAAAAAACCCATTCGTATCATAACGTCGCCGTTCAGTGTTCTTAGTGCACCATTCAACATTTTGTATGTAAAACACTGTCTTGTATACCACCATAGGGCATTGGATGGTTGATAAGTTCGTTGAAATTCATTAATAATTTTGAGTTCTGTCGTATTGCCTTGGTATTCTTGTTGGCAGTAGGTGACCAAATCTTGAAGGGCTTGTTGATCATGTTGGATTTCAAGGAGTATTTCCTTGAATATTTGTGAATACATAAAAGAAGGTTCTAGCTGATCTAGATTCTTGCTAGAATCTCCTGCATTCACACTAACAATGCTCACCGACATATGATCTTGATTGCATTGTTTGATTGCTGTTGCCAATTTTTCACAAATATGCTTAATTGTCGTATGAACACCTTGGATTTTTGACCAATTTCGAGCCCAATCTTGATACCGTTCTTTTTTACGACAAAAAATGTATATAGCATTCAATTTTGCCATGCCATGGATACTTGGTACAAGATGTTGTCCAAGTGCACCTGAGGAGATAACAAATGAGATCTCCTCTTGATTTTTTGTAATCTGTTGTATACATTGTTCAGCTGTCTTACATGGATTAACTTGATTGACGACAGCACGCAGTTGTTGCATTGTATTTTGGCAATCTTCATTTGGCATGTCGATATTTTCATCGACCCAAATAACCAAGTAGTTTTCAGGCATGCGTCGTCTTGGCTGTTGACTCATTTTTGATATAATGTTTTGCGTGCGACAGGTAGTTGTAGATTGTGAATAGTAAATGTTGTTTGGACACAATTTACCTTTTGTATTTATACATTTGATACACGTTGTTTTTTTCCTAGATTTTTCTCTGGCGTCATATATGAATATTTTGTTTTTTCGTTGACA